GTGCTCGTGGGAGTGGTAGCCGTGGATCCAGTGCTCGTGGGAGTGGTGGCACAGTGGCTGTCATCACAGCACAACAGCCGCACATGAAAGTTGTGGCAGTACCACAGGGGCCCAGACTGGTCACGGTTCCTACACACCAGCCCAATGCTCACGTCACATTGCACCACCTGCCCCAGGGCCTCCAGGGGTTGGTTGGGCTCCTTCTCAGAGCGGCACTCAATGTCCCATGGATGCTCGCAGAAGGTATGGCCAGCAGAGCGGATGACCCCAAAGGTCTCAAAGTCCCCACCATCAGGGTCAGAGCTGGGGTGGTCCTCATCAAACCAGTCTGTCCAGGTGCAGCGAGGCACACAGCCCGTGCTGGGAGACGGGGGGCCAGAGGGCAGGGTCGTCCTGATGGTGGGCCCAGAGCTGGAAGTCCGCAGGGTTGTGTGCACACGGGTGGTCACCACGGGGGACGTTGTGGGGGTGCTGGTCACAATTGGACTGGTGGGCATGGATGGAGCCTGGGAGGTCTGCTGCCCCCTGGTAGGGAGGAGGCTGGCGGTGGAAGGTGGAGGGGCAGAGGGACTGGGGAGAGACACCCTCTCTGTGGTCTTGGAGAAGCTGGGGCCAATTTGAGTGGTGGCCAGAGTGGAGGATCCTGTTACTGCTGGTGACTTCGTGCTCCAGGTTGCAATGGCTGTGGAGGCAGTCACTGTGGGGCTGGTGGCCCCCATGGAGGTGAGTCTGGGTGCCTGTGTGGAGGAGGTGGGCGTGGGGGCGGCTGTGTGGGGGCAGTGGCTGTAGTCGTCACAGCACAGCACACGCACATTGTAGTTGAAGCACATGTTGAACCTGCCTGTCTGGTCCTCATTCTTGCAGATCAGCCCCGTCTCCAGGCTGCAGGTCAGCACCTGCCCGATCTGGTCAATGCTTACCTCGGGGTAGTTCTCCGCCCGGCACTCTATGCTCTTTGGTGCCCAGCACATCTTGCCGCCAGCAGCCCTGATGTTTTCAAAAGTTTCCATGTCCCCGCCTGCGACCCCTGAGGTTGGGAAGTCCACGTCAAACCACTCTGTCCACTCACACTTCGGTTGACAGCGGGTAGTGCTCTGGCTAGTGGTGGTCTCAGTCAAGCGGCTCAGTGTCGTCTCTGTCCTGGGGGTGCTGGTCTCGGCCTGAGAGGTGAACAGTTCGCTCGAGAGTGTCGGCGCCAGGCTCGTGGTCAGCGGCTGTTTGGAGCTGGAGCTGGTTGTGCCTGTCAGGTGAGCTCTGGAGGTTGCCATTGTCGTTGGGGCTGGCGTGGGTGGCTGTGAGGGACGCCATGTGCCCGAACTCCCCGTGGTCCCTGGCAGGACTGAGCGTGTTGGAATGCTGGATGTGGCCACCCCTGGGACAGTGGGTTCTGTGGAGCCTGCAGGAACCGTGGGGCCTCCTGTGGTGGCTGTACCAAGGGTGCCCGTGTATCTGGGGGATGTCAGTCCTTTTGAGAGGGTGGGGACTGCTGTGGTGCTGGTCACCCCCAGGCTACTCGTTGACTGCAGCGTTGAGAACAGGACCTGGGTGCTGGTGGTGGTGGTGGTGGCTGTCTCCAGCGATGTGGCCGGTGGTGGGGTCGTGGCTCGTCCCCCGCAGTGGTCGGCACTGCAGCACAGGACCCGGATCCTGTAGTTGTAGCACATCTTGAATATGCCCTCCTGCTCCCAGTTCCTGCACACCAGGCCGAAGCGGACGTCACAGTGCACCTTCTGCCCCACCTGAGCCAGGGGCCAGTTGGGGAAGCTCTCGGCCTGGCACTCTATGTCCTTAGGCTGCTCACATAAGTGCCCTCCTGCAGCCCTGATCTTATCGTAGGACTCAACGTCCCCTCCAAGTTGTTCAGACTTGGGGTAGTCCTCATCAAACCACTCTGTCCACTGACACCGGGGCTGGCAGGTGGTGGTACCTGGGGCCAGGGAGGTGACCGTCGTGGGGCCTGAGCTGGACCCAGTCTGTGAGGTGAGGGCCGCTGTTGACTGGATGCTCGGGATCACCCACAGGGTGGTCTTTTCGGTTGCTGTGGTCTGGGTAGGGGTAGGCACAGCAGGCTCCGTGCTGGCACTGAGGGAGGGCTGGGGGCTGGTGCCTGGGGCCAGGGAGGGGCCACAGGGCACGTATTCACAGCAGAGAACCCGCAGCTCATAGTCGTGACAGAGCGGGGGGCTCTGCTGGCTGTTGGCGCACATCAGCCCCCTCACGCGGTCACAGTCCACCTGCTGGCCCAGCTCTCCCAGTGGCATGTCGGGAAGCTGCCCTGCCCGGCACTCGATGTCGGCTGGCACAGGGCACACCTGGTACCCTCTCTGCCTCAGGTTTTCAAACGTCTCGAAGTCTCCGCCTCCCAGACCAGGCTCTGGGTGGTGCCCGTTGTACCAGCTGGACCAGCGGCAGACCTCTCGGACACACACAGTGGAGACTGGGAGGGCCGGGCCTGCAAGGGGTGTGGGAGAGGGGTCCTGGCTCAGCATCCTCCAGTCCTGGCCTCACAAGGTGGAGGGGCCCCAGAGGACCCTTGTCCCAGGGCTGGCCCTGCCCCTGTGGGATACTGGGGACCCCAGGTGCCTGCCTTAGCCTTGGTTAGAGCCGTTTCTATATGAGGGACTGGAGCCTGGCAGCCTGGCCTTGAGGGAGCCGGCCAGCTAGGATAGGCCATGCTGAGGGATGGGACGGAGTCTGGGAAAGCTTTACTGCCCCC